CGTAAGTCTGATAAAACTGCAACTTTTGTTTGAGTCCCAACTTTCCCAAATGCTTCGCAAATCTTGCATATCATTTCTTTTTAGCGAAACTGGAGCATAACTTGCCAAATCAGATACATAGTCATCTTGCTGACTGTCTCCTCTTTGTCTTTGTAAGTCCTCAGCCCACTGTCTTACTTCTGAGTTTAGAACTATTTGATTTGAACACTTTTTATCCATGGATGAAGGCTTTCCAATGAGACAATTAACACACGATCAATGCCTTTTATCCTGTATGATGCTATGCAAACAGAAGAAATAAAGAACACATAAAAAGAAATGAATTAGTTTACATAATAAAGAAAAAAATAATTAATAATAATGTCTAACTTAAATATCCTTATTTAAACATGCTATCTTCATAATTTAAATAATTTAAACTCACATGCAATTTAATCAGTAAGAAAATAAATAAATAAATTAAAAGGAAAGTTAGAATTCATTTCTCCTGTGTGTACACCTATTTTGGACAAAATTTCGGCATGGCTTCAGATCGGAAGAGTTTCTAGGGTTTATTATATGCAAGGTTTCAGATCTAAGAATAAAGGTACCCGAACTGTCCTTGTTGATGCCCCCTTGGGCTATCAAACCCTCAATCCTAGTCCATTACAGACTTTAAACGGATCGAGTTCAATTCGAGGGGACACATTTCTCTATGCCTGACACAGAGAATAAATTCTCACGAAGACATAGAGCATATGAACCCCGAAAGTTACTTGCTAGGTCTGACACGGAGAATAAATTCTCACGAAGACGTCGCTTTCACTCCCACTTAAAAGGGACAAACTCAATTATAGAGCTTTATGTTATGCAATGCAAGTGTTATGTGTGAGGAGAAATGTTCAAACCTCTACAAAAAAAATAAATAATGAAATAAAATACTTGTAAATAAAATGAAATATAAATAAGAAAATATATAAATGCTATGAAAATAATAAGTATATAAAAATTTGAAAAGAAAGAATTATAAATCAAATATATGAATTTTTAATTTATAAATAATAGAGACAATTTATAATTGATTTTAAAAGTTTGACGGTCCCCAGCGGAGTCGCCAAGCTGTCGTAACCGGTTTTCGTCCGGGCACGAAATATTTATTTGGCGGTAAAAGTGATGTGAATAAATGGTTTTGAAAATAATTTGGGAGTCGCCATCGGCCTTTTAGGTCAGGTAGGTCGAATACCTAAAAAAATATCTTTTAAAAGAGTTTTTAAGAAAACATCAATTAAAAGATAAACTGATCTGCGTTTTAACCAAAAAATCGTTCTTTTTAATAATAAAAAGGGATTCGTGGTCGGTTACGTTTAGGGAAGGTTTAGCACCCCTACAACGCCCAAAATTGGTACTTTTTAATTATAAATTGTCTCTATTATTAGAATTTTAAATATTCAAAATATATTAATTTATAATCCTATTATTTCAAAATTATAATTGTGAGAAAAAAATAATTTATATATATATTATAATAAAATATTTATTTATTTAGAAATATCAGAAAAGGACTTTTAGGTGCCTTAAGACAGCTCTTTTCTTAGATATTAATAAATATTAATATAATAATTTAAATTAAATTATTATTTTTTTATAATATTTAATTTTAAAATACCAGAATAGGACATCCAGTTGTATTAAGACTGCCCTTTTCTTCGATATTGAAAAATAAATAAATAAATATTAAAATATGATAAAAAAATTTATGTAAAAAAATAATTTATTATTTATTATATATATTATATGACTATATAAATAATAAAAATAATATTTAAATATATAAACAAGTAAAATTAAAACAATAAAAATACAATTAGAACTATATATTTAAAAGCAGTAAAATAAATGAAAATATTTAAAATTAGTGACTAAATTATAATAAAATTAAAATTAAATACCTAATTCATAATTAATTATTTAAAATTATAGGGATTAAACATGCCATTTTCCTTATTTATTAATTTGGTGACTAAAATAAAATTATATAAAATTCGAATATCAGATTAAAATAAATTCAAAATATATACTCATGATTAAAATATTATTTATTAAAACTAAAGGACTAAATACGTATTTTATCTAAAATATTTATAATTACGGTTAAGGGCTAAAATATAAATAAATAAAATTTAGAGACCAAATTAAAAGGATTATAAATTTGATTTAGTGACTAAAATGTAAGAATTACAAGTTAAGGGACTGCGGACGGGATTTAACCCTTAGTTAATTGCACAAATAGCTCTCCCCGAAACGACGTCGTTCGGGAAGGGCTATTTAAAGCCCGAAACCGGCTGGCCCGAAGGGCCATCTCTCATTTCCTTTCTTTCCTCTCTCTCTCTTCTTTGAGAGAATTCAAAATTCTCTCGCTTCTCTCTAAAACAGAGAGAAGCACATCGGCCGGTAGCCGTTCACCGGCGTTGACCCCGTCGCCGGCCACCGCCTTCGGTGGCCTGAAAAAAAATTTTTACACTAAAACGTAGATCGGACCGTCCTAATGACGGTTCCGGTGTTCTTTTCTCTTAATTAGCTCTCGATCGGAGCAAATCTAAGAAAGTACCTTCGATTTTCGAAGGTTTTTGGTGACGTTTGAAGAGGTCCGGCGGTCGTGGCTTTCTCGGTAAGCTTCTCCTTTTTTGTTTTTGGTTGCTATGTTGTGGGTTTGCTCTGCTTTGGGTTTGCTGTTGGTTGCTCCTTTTCTATTGGGGTTTTTTTTTTATTCTCCGTTCTTTCTCTCCTCTTGTTGTTGGCAGGGGCTCGGTGGCTTTTATAGCCACCACCGGTGATGGCTTTGGATCGGTCCAAAAGGGGTTCTTCGGTGAGTCACCAGACTTCCAGTGGTGACTCACCGTTTGGGGGAGACGTGTGCGGCTGGAGTGGCTCTTCTGGAAGTCTTCGACGAGACGTGGCAGCGGTGGAGATGGTGGGAGCAGCTGCGGCGGCCGCGTGGCCCTAGGGTATCATACCCTAGGGTTTGCATTTGGAGGAGTGTGGGCCGTTGGATCTCTCAGATCCAACGGCTGAGATGATGAGGCGGCTAGGGTTAGATCAAACCCTAATCTATTTTTTAGGGTTTAGTTGGGCCATCTAAATTTGTAATTGGGCCAGATAATCTGGGCATGTTTGTAATTATTTTTTAATAATAATAATAATATATAATAATAATAATAATAATAATAATAATAATAAAAATGGGTAAAAAAATTTAATATCTTCAGATTTCGATATAGATACTTCAACAAAACGACGTCTTTTTGATCTGATCATTAACGATTTAATGGTCTAATAATATAATCAGAGACATATTTATGTGGCCCAGGAGGTAACAAATACACACCCATTTTCTCTATAAAGTTATCAAAATATAATGTATTATAGTAAGAGGGTAAAAATTCTGCACTCATTTCTTCAATTTTGTGCTCTTTGACGTGAGTAAGAAATTAATTTTATTTTAAATTCTCAAGTTAAAAAATATTTATTAAAATATTATATACCTTTCACCTTTTTTACTTTTTTACTTTTCCACTTCGAAACTTTCTCATTTATTTTTTCAATTCAAACTCAGCTGTCATGAAACCAGATGTCGATCCTTTGTCTCAATCTGAACTAGCCGCAACGACTTCTTCCACCGGCAATTTTTCTATCAACTTTTACAATCAAACTACCTTCAAATTACCGTTTTCTTTTCTTTAGGTTATTTATTTATCATCTTAAATTTAGTTAAATTCATATTTTAGTTTTTAAATTTTTTTTTAAAAAAAATTAATTTGAGTGAGTTAAAATTAAGAGATTGTATTAAAATTAAAATTAATAAATTTTGATGATTTTATGATTTGAAAATTAAATTGGGATATATAAAATTATGAATATGTATTTTTAAGTTGGAGGACATTTTAATTTTTTAAAATGAATCAATTAAAATTGATTAATCAGTAATTAAGATTTTATTTTTTTTAATAACAAATGTCATTATTAAGGAATATTATAATATTTATTTTGGATCCCTAAATTTTAAGTATTAGATCCATCACTGGGAATAATTGAAACAAAAATTAAAATTTAGTGCTATAATTGACAAATTTAAAGGTTTAATGATATAAATTATACAACGCCCAAAGTTCGATAGTATCAGGTGTGATTTACCCTATTTTCAAACACGCTAAGCTAACTGACTGACTATCAATCATCAGTTCACACATATTCCTTAGTCAAACCTTCAATAATTTCTACCTGTCTCATTCAATAAAAAGAACACACCTTAAGTCAATTTTCTTGGTGTTTTAATTTAGTGTTGTACCGCTTTCGGATATTAAGGGATCCAAACAAACATATTCATAGTGTAAGCTTTAGAGGAGCATCTCCGGGGATATAGGATCTTTACAGCTTTATATTTTCCAAAAATTACAATTATCTGACATGATTTTTAATAAGACCAAAATCAATTAACCGTGAATCACATCAATGAAGCCTATCTGTCCTATCAATCTATCGATAATCATCATAATTCTACGCCTAATGATAACAAGAAGAATTATTATAAAATCTCCGGAGATATAGGATATGTAGAGTTTTACATTTTCCAAAAAAATTAGAATTATCTGACATGGTTTCTGATAAGATCAAAATCAACTGACAGTTGATCACATCAATCTAACCTACTTATCCTATCAATCTATCGATAATCATCATAATTATATGTCTAACAATAACAAGAGTTATTATAAAATCTCGGGAATCAAATTAAGAGAAGGGTCTGAAATCTCTCTCATGAATTCTCTTTTCTACTTCTTAACGGAGACCATTATTAAGCAATAACTAGTTGTAGGAACTTTGATTGTCTTATTGTGAAATGAAACTGTATATCATGGAGTCCAAAGCCAAAATTTGGAGCAATTACATTGCAGAATCTGCAGATGTGGACTGTGAAACTGTGTTTTCTCAAAGGAACCAAATAATATGAAAGGGAAAACTTCGCCAAGAAAACATATGGCAATACTATCTCAGTAAGTCGGAACTGATGGATCGACCTTGATTGCATATGCATGTATTCCCCCAGCTACATTGAACACTTTCCTGAACCCCTGAGCAGAAAAAAATCAAAAATTCGTCAAGAAAGATCTCGCAAAAGATAGTAATTGTTCGAAAGACTCTCAACCATTTGAAAATGAACGCTCAAACATCCTCTGTAGAGATTGTGCTCAAATCTAGAACTCTAAGAATAACAACCATTCCTTTAACCACCGAGGTCGTTTGGTCCGTGCTCCAACAACATATCAGAGACAACAGCAATGGCAGGAAATTAAACGAAAGATGAACTTTTGTGGTCAAGGAAAACAGATAAAAAATTCAATGCTACACTGCAAACCTAAGCTGTGTCTGAAGCAAAGGACAATGTAAGCATTCAATGATATATCATAAATACAGCACAGGATAAGAGCAGCTAGCAGAACATTGGTATATGTACACATGAAGGGTGGAGGAATGAGAAGCTACGATTCATGATGAAACCCCTTAGTGAATCTGAACTCCAAATATGCACATGCAATAAATTATGAAGAAAAACGAGTAAAATGGTGAATGTGATGATAATAAAATTAACCTGAGTCTGTAACCACTTGGCAACCTGCAACGATCGCCTGCCATGGTGACACTGCGTGATACATTTTAACGTCGATTAAAACGGAATATTGGAGGATTCAAAGAGAAACAAGCATAGAATGCAAGAGCGACAAATGAATATTAAATTCTAGAAGCTACTTATAATTAAACGTAGTCAAATGGGACTTAAATTGCGGTTGCAGTCGCAGTCACGTTTCCCATTGTATTTATCGCGATTGAAGACATATCGGGTGCTATTTTGGACATTGTACATATCATGGTCATACAATAACGGTTTTGGACGACACCTTTACCGCTATACAACGACCGTTATTCCAATAGCAGACTGCTATTTAATTCCTTACTCAAAACTTAGAATCATTTAAAAACCAGAGACACTTCAGCAAAAAGGCTTTCTAGTGGAATCATATATTCTTGAGAAAATAACCTCAGTGACCGAAAATGCCTTGTAATATACGATTTTGACCAACTTTTTTTGGATTTGCCAAAATGACCAAGTAAATCGCAATACGATCGATAATTCGCAACGCGATCTCCGGTATCGCAAATCAGTTTCCAGATTCGCAACGCGATAGTCAAAGTTCGCGTTGCGATTCATTCCAAATCGTTGCGATAGTCGAAGTTCGCGTTGCGATTCATTCCAATTCGTTGCGATAGGCGAAGTTCGCATTGCGATTCATTCCAATTCGTTGCGACAAACAAAATTCGCGTTGCGGTTCATTCCAAATTTGTTGCGATAGGCGAATTCGTTGCGATAGTCCAAATATTGCATTTGTTTTTTAAGAATTTTCTCTAAAAAGATAGAATTCGCGCGTACGTGTCAAAGACACGTATTACCACGACCACGACCACGACCCGACCCGAGAAGGGACGACGGCGCCGCGCGAGAGTCCCCCTTGTTCTCTATCACTCAACAAGGAAGTAGGAAAGCCAAGCCTTAAATATCATTCCCAATAGTGTTTCCAATACTATGTGGGATTGAGCATTACCAACACTTGTTTCCAATACCATTACCTTCATTGTTGTAAGAGTTTAATTTTGAAACTAAAAAAATATTTATTCGAATAAATAACTTACCCTTTGAGGACTTTGATCATAAATGAAGTAATTGCTAAAACTAACTCTGATTCAGGTTCTTATAGTGTTCAAATGACTTACTTGCAAAGAGTAGATGATGACCAAACAACTCGATATGTTTCCTTTGTGTCATTATCAGCTAGTTTTCGTAGCATCCTCAGTTGAAAACTTCCATCATTGTCTCCTTTGCATTTGTTTGGTTAATATTTTTCTTCCATCAACGTCCTCAAAGGGTAAGTTATTTATTCGAATAAATATTTTTTTAGTTTCAAAATTAAACTCTTACAGACAATGAAGGTAATGGTATTGGAAACAAGTGTTGGTAATGCTCAATCCCACATAGTATTGGAAACACTATTGGGAATGGAATTTAAGGCTTGGCTTTTTCACTTCCTTGTTGAGTGATAGAGAACAAGGGGGACTCTCGCGCGCCACCGCCGCCGCCGTCCCGTCTCGGGTCGGGTCAGGTCGTGGTCGTGGTCGTGGTAATACGTGTCTTCGACACGTCTGCGCGAATTCTATCTTTTTAGAGAAAATTCTTAAGAAACAAATGCAATATTTGGCCTATCGCAACGAATTTGGAATGAATCGCAACGCGAACTTCGCCTATCGCAACGAATTTGGAATGAATCGCAACGCGAACTTCGCCTATCGCAACGAATTTGGAATGAATCGCAACGCGAACTTCGCCTATCGCAACGAATTGGAATGAATCGCAACGCGAACTTCGCCTATCGCAACGAATTGGAATGAATCGCAACGCGAACTTCGCCTATCGCAACAATTTGGAATGAATCGCGACGCGAACTTCGACTATCGCAACGATTTGGAATGAATCGCAACGCGAACTTCGCCTATCGCAACGAATTTGGAATAAATCGCAAATCGAACTTCGACTATCGCGTTGCGAATCTGGAAACTGATTTGCGATACCGGAGATCGCGTTGCGAATTATCGATCGCATTGCGATTTACTTGGTCATTTTGGCAAATCCAAAAAAAGTTGGTCAAAATCGTATATTACAAGGCATTTTCGGTCACTGAGGTTATTTTCTCTATATTCTTTCATTTCTTTACTTACAAGTTTCTTTTGCTTTTATTAATTCTTTTACACAAATTTATTATCAGATGCTATTCATTTGGTTAGCTAAACGCAGGGGGGGAAATTGGCTGAAAATCTTGGCATCAAAAAGAAAATACTCACCAGGACATATGTATCTTTCATTGGATCAAATTTGCTAGTTATTTCAGGTCCCCAACTTCCTAACTGGCGTAGAGGAAGAACATGGAATCCTGGCAAAGATGCTCGAGACCTGCCATGTGAAAAAGATTGAGACAAGACCATCATCCTCTTCAAAGGCAAAAACGAAGTGTACCGCCTTAGAATGAAATGTTCCAACTCTATAGTGCTTCATGGATATATAATTCGCTAATTGAACTATAGGTAAAACATTGTATTGGCAAAATTGCTTCAGTTCTTGGGGAAGACGCCTGGACCACCCAACAACTTTTGGAAGACGCCTGGATCACCCACGACTTTAGGAAATCACTTGGATTACATGGCGTCTTCTCGGGATTTCATGCATGCGCGCTGGCAGGGATGGCTCTAGAAGTCGTCATGTGGTCCAGATGACATCCACCAAGCACTGTAGCAAATACCCTAGTTGAAGAAATAATTTTACCTACACCCTATATGGCCGAATTTTTTTAACGCATTATTCAAACAATTTTGCCCATTGTAATGCTCGATTTTGTAATGCTACCAAAGGTTCGGGTAGCTAACCTCAAGAACAATTATGGTTTATGAAATGCTATAATAGAATCATGATCATTAAATAGACTTTCAAAAATAATTACAGTCTAATACTATATTTTTAAACTTCTCAAGCAATAGCTTGCATCTTGACCTAAGGCTTAAAAGGTTCCTAGTGATGCTTAATCAATTAAGGATTGAAATTCTCTTTTACCATATCACCTACACTAAGAATTTAGAATAGTTTTTGTTTTTTTTAAGCATGAAAGCTCAAGAATCCATCAAGTGTTCTAGTTGTTGAAGGAATGTTGTTCTCCCTAGAGGTCATGTGTTTGAGCAATTGTATCTGTAGGGCATGTGTGCATTGTCGATGGTTAACAAATATTCTGAACATATACTATCTTGTAATCACCCCAGACTATTCAAAAATACATATATATAAATTGCGGAAAATCCACGTAAGAAAATTTGTTTTCCGAGTTATGAAAGCATACACTTCTTCAGGCTCCCGGACATCTATCAACTGAGCCTCTTCGTTGAAACTAGGGTCCTTCAGTTTTGCATGAAACTCCTCTGGTTCAATGTCTTTAAGCAGTGACTCTTCCCTGAAGCAAGGTAAAACCGAGTTAGAACCTGCTTAGCTTCATCAAGCACAGGTTTCAGTTGTGTAAGTGTTCCAAGCAATACCTCTCAGAAAGAACTTGTAGCAAGTGCCATCCAAAATTAGTTTTGCATTTCACAACTTTGTTTAAAGGTGCACTAAAAGCAGCCTCCTCAAATTCTGGCACCTAAAATATTTTACCATGAAAAAATAAAGTCCATCAAACATGTTCTCAATTAAATTTTCAACCCTTTTCAATTAAAAGGATATATATATATATATATATATACATATAAAGAGGAATCAACATACCATTTGTCCCTTTCTTACCCATCCAAGCATTCCCCCCTTCTCCTTGGAGGGACATATTGAGTATTCAACAGCAAGATCAGCTAAATCCCCCCCTTCACCAATCAAATAACCAAAAAAAAAACTAAGTTATTTGAGAGTTAAATATCACACAGGCAACATCAAAAGCGAATTTAATCTATGCTCTTTTTTGTTATTGCCTTAACCTTTTACTATTTCTAAAAAGATGCTATAAAACAAAAGCAAATGCTAGAAAGTTGAATTAAAAATTAACAAAAACTGAACAAATGACTAAGTACAAGACCGGTTCCAATACAATTATTTTGCATTTGGATGAAATCATCTATTATTCTGAATTTATATAAAGAAAATCACTTGTTAAGATTTAGTAATCAGCAAGTCCCCAAAAAGTGATATTTTAAGAATACCATTCTCTGAACTCATAGTAATATTCATCGAATTAAAGTTTGAAAAAGGAAAAAAAAAAGTCACCTCCAGCTATTCTCTGTTGAAGCTCGTCCAAGAGCTTCTGGTCGTCTTCTTTTAGAAGCAAATGCTGTACCATTATTTCCCTGCTCTCCCCATGGCTACTCTCGGAGTTAAATGAAGCTGAAAAGGAAAACAAAAACCAAGAGAAAATAAGAAGAGAGGGAAAGAGAACGAGTTTTAACAAAAATAACCATAGACATGTATATTCAAAACACAACATTTTTAGGTAACGGGTAGGTAAAACGACCTGGTCGGGTTTTTAAAAAAAAATCGGATTCGAGTTTAGGTCAGGTTTTTTTAAAAGTTGGTGTTCGGGTTGGGTTGAATTCGGGTTTAAGTGAAAAATATTCGACCCGATCTAGAAAAATATAATTTTAACTTATATATTTAAGAATAATTACAATAATATCCCTCTATATATTATTTTTTTCAATTAAATCACTGTTTTATTTAATAAAAATAATTTTTTTATTTTAGGTCGAGTTCGGATTTTATCTTATAAAGTCATGTCGGGTGGGGTATATATTATGTGGGTCGGGTCAGATTTCGAGTTGATGAGTCATTGTTCTCGGGTCTGATAGATAAAAAATCTGACCCATGTCCATCCTTAATAAGGGCACAAATAAAATTCTAAAATATAAATAAAATTTTAGAATGCACAATTAATAAAATAAATAAATAATCAAAGAAATTTTAGGTCTTACATCTGTAACTGTCCATGATATTGAGATGTGATTTTTTACATAATTTAGATGTTTTTTTTTTATGGATAATCTAATATCATATCTCTAAAAATTTATAATTTCACTTCTAAATTTTTTATATAATTTTATAAGTCTACGCTCCTAGAACAAAATCATACTTCCGTCACTGAAAAATAACAAACCTGATAGTCTGAGTTGCGGATGATCCGCATTGGGAGAGACTTGCCGGAGTGTAAGAGATGAAGGATAGGTGACAGAGGGAGTAGTGCATCTGGAGAACGAGTGAAATGCAGAGAAAGTGCAGATTTCGTAATGAAGAGAATGAAAAGAAGAGATTGGAATCAACGATCTCCTACGACCAACCAGATTTGTGAGAGATGATGCTATCCGAGCGAAACGGATTGATCTTAACATCGCTATTCACCTCTTTTCACGATTTGCTTTCGACTTATATCACGGCGGCTCGATTCAAATGAGTTAATCGCCCTAGAAAACAAATGAAATGATGACACCTCTACGTTAAAATATGACAGTCCAGATTAATTTATACTAGGATAAAGTACAGAAATGGTCCCTCAATTGTATGTCATTACTTTGTTGAGTCCTCTAATTATTAAAAGTTATAAAATGGTCACATGACTATTCATAAGTTCCAAATATGTCTTTGTCCGTTAAAAAATTAATGGTTTTCTGAGCCGGATGTTAACCTGCTGACTCGAATATGATAAAATTATATTTTAATGATGTCTACAAACATTGTCGCTCCTTTCAAGCATTGACTCGACGATATAGTATTTCAATCACTAATTTCATGGCATGATGTAAATGGAAACTCGATCTATAAAAAAACAACTCAAACGGTTCTATGATTAGATTTTATCATGTATCAATTAGCATATTAACATTCAGTTTAGACGATTGTTAATTTTTTAATGAAAAAGAATAAGTTTAATACATATAAACAATCAAATAACCATCTTATGCCTTTTAATAATCGAATGACTTAATAAAAAAACACTCAAAGGACCATTTGTATACTTTACTAATTACATTAGCAGTTAAGATAAACCTTTTCTCTTAGTTTATGATATTTTACCTATCAAATTCAGTGATGTTAATTAAAACTTTTATTTTATTTCGTGACGTTTTTAAAACCTGAATCCATTTAACCAATTTGGAATTTATAAATTGATTTATTTAAAAAAAATATTAGTCTGGGCTATATCTATTCAACAGACTCTCAATAATTTGATAATAAACGTTCAATATCCGACAAAAATCACGCTCGACCCAGTGATAGATCTAAAAATATTTTTTGAGTGTGGACTCATATATGTTAATAGTACGAAATTTTTGAATGGAGTGAGAACGGATAAAATTTCATGATGGACATCATCAATAAAATAAGTGATTAATCTAAGAAAAATCAGATTTTAGGGTGGGCATGTAAACAGACATGTCACTACTCGAATCCGAGACCTTTAAGTATAACAATCATCTCTTTAATCACTGAGATCACTTAGTTTGTAAATATATTTAAAAAAATTTAAGGTAAGATTTATTTAAAACTTTTTTAATAAGATGATTACAAGGTAATATCTATTTATAATCTTTTTTAGCTATTGGCAACCGACTCAATACAATATGTTTTCTAATTATTTAACTCAATACATCACAAAGCAAATTATTTAAGGATCTACGGCATTTACTACAGTGACTTAGAACTCATCATGTCGATGTGACGAGTTCTAATAAAAAATATTTTTTATTCAAATTTTTATTCCAATGTGATAAATTCTAATAAAAAAATATTATATATGTAAACTCGTCACGTCGACGTGATGTATATATATTGCACTGTAATATTTTCCGTAGATTGCAAAATAAATTTCGAATTGATCTATTGAGCCAATTAATTTTTTTCGTATGGCCTAATGGGCAAAAAAAAATCCAATACACAGCATATGCCAGATTCATTACTCCTCTCTAGACTAGGGATGACAAAAAAACTCGAATCTGACGGGAAAAATCGAAAACTGAATTAAACGGGTCGGGTTTAGGGATGATAAATGGGGATGGGGACGGAAAAAAACCGTTTATGCTAAACGGGGACGGGGACGGGTTTGGTAATCTCCACCCCGATTACCCGATTATCCGGCCCGATAAATATTAAAAATAATTATATATATATAATATTAATAAATTTAATTTAAATTAAAAAATATATATAATATTTATATATTTAATTTAAATATATATACCCGGCCCGATACCCGTTTAAATAACCGTTTATGCTAAACGGGATACCCGTTTCCCCGCGGTTTTTCCCGATTACCCGATGGGGATTCCCGTGATTTTTTAAGCGGGGACTGGTACGGATTTTTTAAACGAGGACGGGGATAGGGGACCAATATCCGGCCCGAACCCGGCCAGTTGCCATCCCTACTCTAGACACATGATCCAAATGATCTCACCTGGACTGGTGCAAATTCCACTTGAGATATTTATATTAGGGTGTATTTGATTCGGTTTAATTTTTTGATAAAATATGAATCAAACCGCATCATGCTTTTTTAAAATTAAATGGCATAAAAACTGCAATTTTCAATGTAATTTGGTTCAATACGTTTGGTTATGCAATTTTAACTATTCACTATTTTTCAAAACCCATTTGAAAAAAAACAAACTTCAAACTTAAATCAAGTGCAAACACACAATTTTAAATTAACAAACAAAAAAGGATTTTATTTATTTAATTTTATCTTATAACAATTTTAAAATGAGTATTTCGATCGTTATTTCTTTTTTTAATTCGATTTGGTTTGAAATAAACGGATTTTATATGAAAAAACAGAAATCAGATTGAATTGTAAAATTAAATATCTAAATCAAACTGAACCAAATCGTAAAATAAAAAACACAAATCAAATTGAATTGCATAGTACAATTCTGATCAATTTTTCGATTTCCTTGCTTAGCCCTAATTGATTTGATAATATTGACCCTACCCTCTTTGGTGCAGCATAACATCTAATACCACATGGTTCTCATTATTCATGCAATTGTAGATTTCGAGTTTCGACCTGAGATCGAAAGATAAGTTCATCTTTGGATTGGTAATTTTATTTATGGATCTTCTCATTGGCATTTGTTCATATAGAGGGTATTTTTCTCATTGTTGCATATGGAAAGGGCTTGAGAATAAAGGCAGATTCGAACAGTTGTATTTGTAGGATGTTTGTGTGTTGTCAATAAGATAAGAAAAATTCTAAATAGTACTCCACCGAAATAGATTAACGGGTCTTTTAGATTAACTAACATACACATACAATTAAATTTGTTGAGTCAATCGATCAAAGAAAATGGCCAAAAGGGGGTGAATTGGTAATTAAAAATTGTTTGAAGCTTAATCAAGAAAACTGAAAAATTGACACAGATTTTAGAATAGTTCAACTTCCTTAATGAAGTCTACATCCACTACTTTAACTTCCTAAGGATTTCAACAAATTCACTAATTTGCTCTAACATTTTAGGACAAAGTGTAACCTTTTTATTATTAAAAAAAAACAAGGTGTAACCTTACACAACACTAAAACTTATACCCCAAAGTCTTTAGTGTTCAACCCTTCCCAAGAAGTAATTACAAATGAGAAAACTTTGAATATCCTCACAAAGATAGAATGTTCGCAAATTGAAGCTCTCACACACACCCAAGAACACTAGAATGAAAATTCAATGAATGAAATAGTTTCTATGTAAGAAAGACACAATGTAATACAAATTTGGCTCCAATTGCTCTTTGATTGTTGGAATAGCTATCTTGTCTTTTCTTGGCTGTTTGAAGACCCCTTTTATATGTCCTCATTGATTTTTAGTCGTTTGTGGTTGTTAGAGGGAGTTTGGAGTTGTTTGAAACATTAAATCCATGCTTTTAAAGCTACCAGCACACAAAGTTTCGAAACTCTAGGAAAGTTTTGAAACTCCTCGAAAGAGGAATTAAAAAATATAACCGTTGGACTCCAAAGTATTAAAACTACAAGGTAAGTTTCGAAAGCCTACTATTTTAGAAAGTTTCGAAACTCCTCTGGAAGTTTTGAAACTTCTGGTCAAGGCTTGCTTAAAATGACAGTTTCTGACATTTTGAGAAAATTGTGACATTGAAAATTGTTCTAAAGTATTTAAATGATATTTTTGACATTATTTAAACTTAAAAGACTCATTTTAAAGATTTGAAAAAATTTGGAGACTTATAATTAATTTTACACAATATATATATATATATATATATATATATATATATATATATGTTATATCAAAATCATTTATGTTTATCAAACTCCCCCTTTTTGATATAACAAAACATATTTGTAAAAAATTTCTTAGTTCAAAATTCTTCAAATTAATATATCATTCAAAAACAATGAAACTTAATTTAACTCTCACTTTGAAAAAGAATTTAAAGTTGTAAAAAAATTAATCAAAATTTTATATCAAAAACAAAAAGTTTAATCAAAAGTTGTTCTTGATATTTTCTCTCCCCTTTTTGTTAGACCAAAATCATTTAGCTACAAAAAAAAGACAAGGTTAGAGCATAATAAGCCAAAATAATAATATTCCAACATATGATAGGCCAAAATATATCCATCATAAATATATAAAATATCCAACATAAATTTTCATAATAATGTCATAAGAAAAGCATAAGCATAAATGACCAAAATATTCGAAATAATCAATCATCCCAAATATGAAATCCTACAAATCCAAAATAACCAAAAACATCCAAATGTAATAATATTCAAAGGAAAATCCAACAATCCTAAATGCAACATTAAATACAAAATAAAGATGATCAATCCTCCTCATCATCATTCGCATGCGAAAAAGGACCGCGAGGGGATGATGATACAGGAAACGAGCCTCTAAAACGCCAAGACGAGCATTCATAGCATCGAAGCGGTGAAAGACTTCATCAAAACTACTGGATATGTAGTCTTAAAGCGTCTCCAAAGTGATAGGAGGACACGGAGAAGGAGCAACAATCTCATGTATAGTATCAACTCCGGGAGCTTATTCGATTTAATCTTGACGAATGCGAACCCATTCACCACTGATGAAGTCATACCCGATTTTGTGAGCTGAGGTAAGGTCAAATGTGCTCAAGAAAGGAACAACGGTGTCATAGGAAATATTAACCTGATGCTCGGTAAATATGTGACTAAGCACACATGCATAAGGTAAGGAACGTTTAGACCCTAGACTTTTGGAGACGATATTGACAAGCTCGGTAAAGATAATATGAGTTAGGTGAGTATGAGTTTAAGAGCGGAAATCATAAATCCACTAATAATCTAAGTTTATCATATGAGTGCCATTTCCACCCGAGGGGCGGAGAAACCAAGTGACAATGAGGT